AAATGCAGGGGCACTACTTGGAGGCGTAGAACCCCAATGAGGAGTTCGTACCCCAGAGTAGGCCCTTATTCCCAGCTTGTTGGGGGTTTAGGCTCAGTTATAAGGCCCTTTGAACCCCAAAAAGAGCTCCCTTTTCTTTCTGGGCTACTCTGGGGTCTGGGAAGTCTACTTCTCAGCTACCTAGATAAGTGCAGTTAGAATTGCCCATGAACTTCCAAGCAGGATCGGAGCGCCCCACTTACTCGCAATGTACCTATTTCGGGTTTCGGGTCTTGGGTTGTCCTTTCTGGGGGAGTTTGTGGGCTGGCCTGAATGAAGGGGCTTCTTTTGGTACCCTGATGCAGAGAATACGTTATGCTCTTTCAGGGTTGGGTCTCTGTGAAGACCCGAACTACTCACAGACTTGGGGGGGGGGGGGTAGGCTTAGGGTTTGAGGCCGGGGCCTGCTTTGGGATGTTGGCGGGCTGCATCGTTTGTGGAGGAATGTGTATTCTCTGTGTGCATGCGGTAGGGGCTGAGGCTGAGGGGGTGGGGCTTTGGGGCTGGGGGGAATTCCTTAACATGGTCCTTTACCTCCTGTAAAGGGTTCTGAAGTATGTGTAATCCACCTGATATTCAGGACCCCCAAAAAGACTATAGTTTTTTGGGTTCGGGCTTCGGATCTAGCCCAACGATGCGCCAGGCGCGATGCCAGCAAGGGGGCAACCAAGATAGGACTGCCCAGTAAAGGGACTTCTGGTCTCCAGCCAGCATGCCAAACATGTTCCTTTCTGTAGTCCCTAAACCCCAAGCCCCAAACCCTAAACCCCAACTTTAGGCCCTAAACCCCGCAGTTGCCAAAACCTAACCCTGAGCCCTCAAGCTTCAGTCTTTCGAGCTCCTGAAGCCCTATAAACCCCAATGCTTCGCCCAGGGAGCCGAGCCCAGTACCCTTTGGGGTGTTAGGGTTTATGGTTTGGGGTGTAGGGTTTAGGGTTTAGGGTTTAGGGTTTAGGGTTTATAGGGTTTAGGGTTTAGGGGGTTTAGGGTTTAGGGTTTCGGGGTAAGGGTTTAGGGGTAAGGGTTTACGGAAGGAAATTGCCCTTAAGCCACACAGGTTCTGAAGGTATGAATTCCTCTAAGTGAAGGTTCCTTAAGCTGTACCAGGGCCTCTTATTGCGGATTCAGGTCTACTACCTGAGCCCTAAGCCCTGTGCCCCTGAATTTTGTTTTTTCTTTGCCACGGGCGTTTCGTTTGGGAAATGGCGAATTGCAAGCTGGCGCTGTAGAGCGGCGACGTTTTCAGGCATGCACTGGTAGCATGGTCCTTATCATGGTCCGGGCATGGATGGTGTGGTGGGCGGATGCGCGGCCAATACAAGCGTAATGTTCGTTGAGACGATGAGTTGACCTTGGCAGTACAACAAACGCATGTTTTTGGGAACTCGGCGCTTCACGTTGTCAAAATGCAGAAAGTCAAACCATCCCGACTCTCTTACTTCGTAATCTAGTCTTTAGGGTAGTAGACCTCAGATTCTGTAGGGTTTTCAAGTAAAATATGTAAATTCTCAATTTGAAGGGGCCCCCCCCAAGTTTAAGCCTGCGCTCGATTTAACGTACAAATTCTTTTACCCCAAGCCCAAAACCCTAGATTACGCATAAAGATCTTGTACCCTCAGGCCCAAACCCAAAAGTATGAATCTAGGCCTACCCTACAAACTGTAGAGTATGAAGTGAGGTCGGTCGTTTGCCCTTTTTGCCCTAAACCCTGAAGACAGGTGACTGGTAGCTTGAGCACAATCTGGGCGCGCCCGCTCAAAAAAGAGCCTTTTTCTAGCATGTGTGTTTTTTTGGGGTTTGTAGGGCCAAGGGTCTAGGCTTTATGACTTTAGGGGTTTTGACTCCTGCCATCTTTGTTTGATCAGTCCCTAAACCCGAATCCTAAACCCTAAACGAGTCCTTGCTTGATTGCTGACTCGGGGGCGAGGGGCTAAGCTTGTGAGCAGGAGCCCATAAAAGTCCGCGAAGCGGCCGGGCACTCGGAGGTCCTAAGGATGGGCGATTCAGGGCTTCAGGGGTTTAGGGTTTAGGGTTTAGGGCTCAGCATTTCCAAAACCCTAAACCCTAATCCCTAATCCCTAATCCCTAAGGCTTTGTCCAGCTGGTTTTGGTTCAAAAGTTTTGGGGAGGGCTGAGGGCCCCTCAACCCTTCGACTCGCGTAGGGTTTCCTTATTCTCTTTCCTGTGGGGCAGGAAAAAACCGCACAACAAGGCGTTGTTGTTCTGAGATCTTCCTCAGGAACCCAGTACGTCCTCATCCTCTGAAGCCCGCAAAACCCTTTGGAATCCGTATAGGCCCTAAATCGCAAGACCTGAACCCTATAAACCCCAAACCCCAAACCCCAAACCCTAAACCCCAAACCCCAAACCCCAAACCCCAAACCCCAAACCCCAAACCCCAAACCCTAAACCCTAAACCCTAAACCCTAAACCCCACCCCCAAAGGCATGGCTTTGCACCGGCTACGCCTACGGTTCCTGCTGGCGGTGAGCACGCTTGGCCTGGCAGCAAGCCTGTCGCTTGCCCCGGAGTGGTTCAGGGTCTAGGGTTGATGGGGTTTCGGGGTTAGGGTTTTAGGGTTTGGGGTGTAGGGCTTAAGGGTTTAAGGGTTTTCGGGCTTAGGTTTTAGGGTTTCGGGTTTAAGGGTTTAAGGGTGTAGGGTTGAGGGTGCATGGGGTTAGGGTTTGAATGCTTAAGGGCTCATGTATCTGATGTTCTGAATGGTTTGGATGGATGAAGAAGTGTTTCCATCTTTGTGCTGGATGGCGGACAGGGCCGTGAGGGCTCGCCGTCGGCAGGGTGTAGGGCACAAAGGTCAATCCCAGGCGTGAGCTACTATTTGCAGACGAACCCAAAAACATGACAGTCCCTATACTGGCCTAATGCAAGACAGGATATTGTACTTTTTTTTTTGGGGGGGGGGTTCTTCAGCAAATCGTACTTAGGGGTTGTACTAGTGTCAAAGGCTTGAGGCTCACAGCAGCAGTTGCAAAACATGTCCTGCGAAACCTCCTTCCTTGGCCCATGACTCGACTACCACCGCTGTCTGAAAACTCCTTGTGGTCTTATTGAAACCCTAAACCCTAAACTCTAAACCCGAAACCCTAAACTCTAAACCCTAAACCTAAACCCTAAACCCTGAACCCTAAACCCTAAACCCTAAACCCTAATCCCTAAACCTTTTCGTCCCACTCCTTCGGCCCGAAGCCAGCCCTGCCGAGGGTGGCCGGCAAGTCCTGGCTGGTGACGCTCACCTTCATGGGTGGGGTCGCCCAGACTCACAGGGTCGCCCGGGGCCTTTTGGGCTTTCAGGGTTTAGGGTTTAGGGTTTAGGGTTATAGGGTTTAGGGTTTAGGGTTTAGGGTTTAGGGTTTAGGGTTTAGCGTTTAGGGTTTAGGGTGAGGGGTTGATAGGGTTGATAGAACTTTGACGCTCGAGCGGTGCTATGTTGAGCTAGTGTGTTGCAATGTGTTGCTCGAAAGAACCTCAAAACCCTGAACCCCGAACTCCCCTAAACCCTAAACCCCGAACCCTATAAATCCTGCATCAGCCACCTCGCTCACACCTTCGAAAAGTCCAGAACCCTGTCACGCCCCCTAAAACCTAAACTCTAAACCCTGAAACCCACCTCAGGTCCAACCCCCAAAAGCCCTCAAACCCCTAAACGCGAAAAGCACTAAGACCCTAAACTCTAAACCCTAAACCTTAAACTCTAAACCCTAAACCTCAAACCCCACACCCTAAACCCTAAACCCTAAACCCTAAACCCTAAACCCCAAACCCCAAACCCTAAACCCTAAACCCTAAACCCTAAACCCTAACCTTAAACCCTAAACCCTAAACCCTAACCCTAAACCCTAAACCACTTCCGAGGACATGTTGGGCTTTGCGCGGCGTACGCCAAGCTGAAGCCTCACATGCCCTACTGCAAGGTGCGGTCAGGGTTTAGGGCTTAGGGTTTAGGCATTGAGGGTTTAGGGTTTAGGGTTTAGGGCTTAGGGCTTAGGGCTGAGGGCTTAATTAGGGTTTCGGGTATAGGGTTCAATCAGGGCTCAATTTAAATTCTGGGTTTCCGGGATCATGGGGCTTCGAAAAATGAGGACAATATGGAGCTTAACAACTTAACAACAATGCATGGCTTGGAAACGAAGGAATGCTGGAAAACATGGCTCCCTGTATTTACGAGGGCCTGGGGTTTAGGGGCTTAGGATTTCCGGAGTTCGGGATTTAGGCTGGCCTTAAGAATTTGGATTTTCGGGTTGCCAATGGCCTAACTGGGTGGGTAAAAAAAGCCCCCCTATACCCTAAACCCAACTTTTTGTTCTCGACTAGTACTGGTGGTTCCTTTCTTTTATAGAGGTTCTTGTGGGGGGGGGGGGGGATAGGGGGTTCTAGAGAACCTTGGGTTAATACCCTAAACCCTCAACCCTGAACCCTTAAGTCTTTCGCAACCGACAATGTTTTAAGAAGGCTGCGTGGAGTGGCCAAAACCCTCTCTAAACCCTAAACCGTTAAACCTTTTTAAGCCCCAAGCCCTAAGCCTCAGGCCTTCTACGTCTCCTTCTGCGTGGTGTTCATGGCCGTGGCGGCTCCCAGTGCTTACACACCCGGCTTGCCGCGGCCCTCAGTCGGGTTTAGGGTTTAGGGTATAGCGTTGTAAGGTTTAGGGTTTAGGGTATAGGGTTGTAAGGTTTAGGGTTTGGGGTTTGGGGTTTGGGGTTTAGGGTTTAGGTTCAGTGTTTAGGGTTTGGGGTTAAGGTTTGGGGTTTAGGGTTTAGGGCGGGTCCTTGTGGGTCTCATGTTTCGGGTTCAAAGGCCAATGGTGGACTGTGAGTGCTAAAGAGTCGGGGCTCAGGGTTTAGGCGTGGAGTGTAGGGTTCTGGAGATGCAGGAGTTCGTTCGTTCCTGGCCCCCGCTTCTGCAGATGACCGTTGTAGTCGAACAGACAAGTCGATAGAGTCATGTACTTCGATTGTGGTGAACCCATAACCCACAACCCTAAACCCTAAACCCTAAACCCTAAACCCTAAACCCTAAACCCTACAAACCTTAAGCCTTAAACCTACGGGGAGACCAGAGGCTGGCTTCACTGGGCACGGCCTCCCTGAGCCAGCTGTGGCCCTGCAGCAGGGAGAGGGCTTTTGGGAGGGTGTGTCGGGTTTCACAGGTGTGGCACTTAGGGGGTTTAGGGTTTAGGGTTTAGGGTTTAGGGTTTAGGGTTTAGGGCTTAGGGTTTAGGGTTTAGGGTTTAGGGGTCCAATGAAAAGCTGTTGTTGGTCGGAGGACCCCTGGCCGAAGGTCAAGAGGATTGTGTTGCGTTTTGCTTCCTAAACCCTACACACCAAACCCTAAACCCGAAACAGTCATGTATGTGGGTATGCCCCCGGATGTCTTGTCTGGCTTTAACCTGAACTTCAACGTGCGCAAGCGCCACAAGGTTGTCTTTGTTCTTAAATTCTTAGACGGTTTAGCGTTTACTGTTAAGGGTTTACGGTTTGGGGCGGGTCCCCTTTTCTCATGACCTCAATAGGGTACCCCTAATATCGTAAACCCCCATAAAGGTCTGTGAAGAAGGCTTTTAGGGTTTAGTCTTGGTAGCCCGGTGGTACAGTGAATTCCCCTTTTTTCTCGTTCAAGGTTCCCTTTAACAAAGTAAGCCCTAAACCCTAAACCCTAAACCCTAACCCCAGAAAAGTGTACCGTGTACCCTTATGAAGGTATAGTCACTGGGGTGCCAGGTAGTGTAGGGCAAAGGAACAACATCAGGGTGTTGAACGCCCCTGGGAGCCCTAAACCGGAAACCCGAAACCCTAAACCCTAAACCCTAAGCCGCCGAAGCCCTGTCCAGGCTGCTCCTGATTTTCTCGGTGGCACTGACCGTTGAGCAGCTTCAAGACATCCGCGACGTCGACGAGGATTTGGAGGCGGCATAGGGTCATTTAGGGTTCAGGGTTCAGGGATTGCAAGATGTTTTTCTGGGCCAGTGTCTTTCTTGGTGTCAGTGAGGCTTGCAAACAGGAGGGAGATGTGCGGAGAGGCTCGGAGTATCGGGCTCAAGGTGCCTCCTTTTAGCCACACGCCTCTTCTGCAGAGCTCGGGTCGTGATATCTCCTATAGACATGGGTCTGTCTTTCACGAAGATCTGGACCCGCTTCGTCAGCACGCAGGACAGGAAGATCCCTAGGAATAGAATCGGCAACCTTTCACCTTTTTGGGGCACTCGAATTCCTATAAAATCCCAAAGGTTAACCTTTAATTCCCCCAGATTACTGGGCAACTGAGGATCGTGATGGTGGGACTGGATGCTGCTGGAAAGACGACAGTGCTCTACAAGCTGAAGTTGAACGAGCTGCTCATGACAGTTCCCACGATACTTACTGTTGGTTAGTAGGGAATGAGGGAATGAGGTACGTACCCTGTATAATCCCTTAAAGGGTATATAAAGAGGGATATGGGGTACCTCATTCCCTCGTTCCCTGCCAACCAACAGTAAGGATTGGCTTCAACGTCGAGACGGTGGAGTTCAGGAACATCCGGTTTACAGTGTGGGATATTGGAGGCCAGGACAAGATCCGTGGGCTGTGGCGACACTTGGTAGTAGAGTAGGTAACCTTTCACCTTTTTAGGGTAATAGAATTCCCCTTAGAATCCAAAAGGTTGACCTTTCGTTTTTTCTAGGATACTGGACAACTTAGCTAGGTGGGACTTTACCACAACAAGTTTAGGGTTCCTCTAACTTCCTCTTTAAGGGAGCTAAAAGTTAAACTCTTCTTGGGGGGGGGTTAAAGAGCAACCAAGTAAGGACATGACTTCTCTAATTTCATATTAAGGGGGCTAAAACTTAAACTCTTATTGGGGGTGTTAAAGAGCAACCAAGTAAGGACATTACTTCCTCGGCACGCATGGGGCCATCTTCGTCGTGGACAGCGTCGACCGCGACCGCATCCAGGATGTTCGGGAGGAGCTTTGGCACATGCTCACGGACCCAGAGCTCGGACAGGCCGCGCTGCTCCCTAAACCCTAAACCCTAAACCCTAAACCCCTAAACCCTAAACCCCTAAACCCTAAACCCCTAAACCCTAAACCCTAGGCCGCGCTGCTGGTCCTCGCCAACAAGCAAGACTTGCCTGACGCACTGCATCCGGATGAGGTGGCGGAGAAGCTTGGCCTTACTGAGCTGAGAGGCCGCAAGTGGCTTCTCGGCTTTCTCCTGGCTAGCTCTTTAGGGGCTTTATAACCTCTTTGGGTTTTTGTAGAAACTACAATAAGGAGGCTGGCTCTTAGGGGTTTTATAACCTTTTGGGTTTTTTTGTAGAATCTACAATAAGGAGCCTAATAGTTAAACTTTTTGGGTTCTTGTAGAAACTACAAGAAGGAGCCCAAAAGTTAGACCTTCTGGGCTTTTGTAGAAACTACAATAAGTCAATAAGGAGCCCAAAATTATTAAACTGTTGGGATGGGGCTCAGAAGTCAGCCCAAGGTTTGTGCAGCCCACTTCGGCCACGAAAGGTGCTGGCATCTGGGAAGGATTAGACTGGCTGTCCAAAGCCATGGCCGACCGAAGATGAAGTTTAAGGCCCTTATAAGGGATATTCTATGAACCTAGGTAGGCCCTTAAGGGATATTCTATGTTTTCCTATTATTGGGTTTAAGAGGATCCTATTTTAGGAAGATTTTTTTCGGGAGTTTCAGTGGCCAACCCAGTGAAGCCTTTGCAGTTTTGGTCCAGCAGGATTGTCTTTTATTTCTAAGCGGCTGGCCGGTGTATGCAGTCCTACCACGGGTAGGAGGCACTGGCGCCAAGCTGCTTTCCGGAGTATCTCTGCAGGAGCGGGAGCTGGACTCCGCACAAGCTTACAATCTGCTCCTCCTTGTACAGGTTTTCAGACCTTCAATCAGTAGAAATGTGCAGAGGCTGCAAAAGAAATGTGGATGAGAGGGTTGCTCCACTCTCGACTTGAAGTCATAAACCCTGTGATCGACAGTGGGCAGGCCTCTCTCTCCCTCTCTCTTTCTTGACTTCTTAGGTTATGTTATTGCTTCCTTTCTTTCTCTCTTTACTTCATTATTTCTTTCTTTCTCAGTGTTTTGTACTTCCCTAGGTTTTGTCTTTTCTTATCTCTTTCTCTCTGTCTCTCTGTTTCTATCGCTTTCTTGCTTTATATACATGTATACATATGTTACATGTCTCAGGCCTCAAAACGAGTTGAGAATCAAAGCTTCGTTTCACGTGGAGGTGCTTCGGGTAATTCGGGCAGCTGGCTCTAACCGTAAACCCTAAACCCTAAACCCTAAACCCTAAACCCTAAACCCTAAACCCTAAACCCTAAACCCTAAACCCTAAACCCTAGCCCTAAACCCTGATGTTATATGGGTTAAGGCTTTAGGAGTGCCATAGCGACAGGTACTTCGAGGCTTTGCGGGACCCTCTTGACTTGAAACCCCCAGCTCCCAAACCTAAATAGCCTTTAACCCCAAACGCGAAATCCGAAACCCGAAACCCTAAACCCTAAACCCTAAACCCCAAACCCTAAACCCTAAACCCTAAACCCCTGAACCTGCCGAAGGCGCAAGTTGTCACCCTTCCCACCGGGCTCGGCGCGAGACGGGCGAGGTGCCCCTAGGGAGGTCGATGGAAGGAGCCTATTATGTCCCCCACGCTTAGAGCCCCCCCTGAAGGCTGCAATGTAGTTTAGGGTTTAGGGTTTGGGGGGATCTAGCATCCTACACCAGAAAAAAGTGCGACATTAGGAGCCTTTAGGTAGCACTTAGATCCTTCAAGGACCCAGTCAAAACCCTCTCAATCCTAAACTGTGTGACGCCCGAGGAAGCCCAGAACGCCCTCTAGAGCAAAAACCTCAACCCGAATCCTAAACCCAAAGCCCCAACCTTTCGATATTATCGATCTCAGTTTGGCCTGAAGAAGGCGTATTTGAATCAATGTGTCTTTTTGTTTGAACATCTTATTCGCGCTCTTTCTTTTTAACCAGGAGCAAGGTGGGGATGTTCGAAGGAAAATAATTTTGTGTTTGGGGTTGGTGCAGTTCTGGCTTAGGGTTTGGGTTTCGGGTTTCGGGTTTCGGGTTTCGGGTTTTCCTATTGAGGCGGCTGCTGGTGACTTTCCAAGTGGTCGGGATGGCAGCGCATCTCCTCGTCATGTGGTTGGCCGGGCCCTTGTTGAGAGACTGGCGCCTCCCCCCCTGAAGCACCTGGCTTCCCAACACATCCTTAAAAGAAAACCGCCATCCACCCTAAACCCTATAGCCCAAACCTCATTATGAACCCTAAACCCTTCACCCTAAACCCTAATCCCTAAACCCTTAAACCCTAAACCCTAAACCCGAAGCAGAAAGCAAACCGCAACAACAGCATGCCCAGACGCCTTAGGCTCGGCTTCCACTACGACCCCACTTCTTGGGTGTGCACGCTGCTTGCAGCAGGGACCCCGCAGTGCTGCCAGGGTTCAGTGATGTTCAGGGGTTTCAGGGTTCATGCAACCCTAAACCCTGAACCCTAAACCCTGAACCCTAAACCCTGAACCCTGAACCCTAAACCCTGATTCCTGAACCCTGGGTTCGCAGCTTCTTAAGGGCTTCGGGGGCGAGAGGGGGGGCAACAGGGCGACCGAAACACTCAACAGACCCGAAGCCGCGGTAGGGCTTAGGGCTTAGGGCTGTGAGGGCGTTAAAGTTTGCTCCCCTGGCTTCTACTTTCAAACGTCTATATTCCCCCACAGTAAACTCCAGAAAGTTGGAACATGGTTTAAGAGGGAATACCTTTTGGTGTGTTCCAACTTTTCGGAGCTTACTGTAAGCCAATGCCCCTAAACTCCCCTCGCCCTTCAAACTCTCAGCAGATTTTTGATCCATGCCTTCCAAACTCTCTTGTACACCCTACCTCAACAACCCCAGACCTATTCGAAGGTCGTTATGCTGCGGCTGTGGGTTTGGGGGTCCTTCACCTAGTGAAGAAGCCCTGAACCCTATCCTCCCTCCTGAAACCTTACATCTAAACACTGAACCCTAAACCTGGCAATCCTAGCCCTACACCTAAACCCCAAGTAGTTGTCTGCAGGCCTCACGCAAAGCCTTTCAGCCCAATTAAGTTCAAAGCCTATGAGCCCTAGCCGTCTACACCCCAACAAAACCCCAAAAACCTTCAACCATGCTCAAAGCCCTAAGGCCTCGAAACCCTAAACCCTAAAACCCTTATCCTTAAACTCTAAACCCTATCAACTCCCAGCCCTACATGCCCAAAGCCCAAACCCTAAACCCTAAACCCTAAACCCCCTTAGGGAGGGCGAAGCCTCGATTCACCAGGTCTCTGTGCCCTGGCGTTCACCCAACGAACCCCTCGCACTCTTTTCCAAGCCCGGGGGCTCAATGCGAGGGTTTAGGGTCGAGGGTTGAGGGTTGAGGGTTTAGTTTAGGCTTTAGGGTTGAGGGTTGAGGGTTGAGGGTTGAGGGTTTAGGGGTTGTAGGGTTTAGGGTTTAGGGTTTAGGGTTTAGGGTCAGGCCTGGGGCGCTATTGATGTTTTTTGGGGGGGATTCTCTAAATCATGGCCCCTCGTGTGGGGGCACTGAAGATAGCATGATCGTCGAGCCCCTGAAAAAGGGACCATAACTTGGAGGACCTCCGAGAAAAGTGCTCATGAAGGGTTTCTGTTTTCAAGGAACGCGCGGATGTATAAGGGGTTCGTAGTTTCAATGTGGAGGGATTCGGAACTTGTTGTTTAGGGTGTAAGGGTCTACAGCCCTAAACCCTATAAACCCTAAGTACCTCTCAGCAAGCCGTTATAGCCTCCCGTCGATCTGGGGTTTGGCATTCGTTCTGCCCACTATCAAAGATGCCCAAGAAGGCCCGTCTGGGTAATTCTCTATTTTCAGAGAGCCATACTAGATAAGGGACCTCAAAAGGGACCCGAATCTAGAGAACTGCTCATACACTTCCGATCGATCTCCACCTCCGAACACGTGAAAAACAGCCAGCCCTAAACCCAAAACCCAAACCCTAAACCCTATAAACCCTAAGTGTTTGTCTTCAATGTGCTGGAGCACCCTCAGGGGTAGAGTTGCTGTTGTTTTTAGCCAGGCCCTGGGTAGAGTTGCTGTTGTTTTTGCCCAGGCCCTGGGGTTTGGGGTTTCGGGATTTAGTGTTTAGGGTTATAGGGTTTAGAGAACCCTAAACCCTAAACCCTAAACCCTAAACCTTAAACCCTAAACTTACACAACTTTGAACCCCGAACCGTAACCCGTTCGGCAATGTTTCAGGTCGTGCTGGAGCCGCTCTATGCGCTCCCTTTGTTCATGACGCTGTCCGCGGCCCAGGACTGGATGGTGCCCGTGTTTCAGGCTTCAGGCTGTCCCAAGGTTTAGGGTTTAGGGTTTAGGGTTTAGGGTTTAGGGTTTAGGGTTTAGGGTTTAGGGTTTTAGGGTTTAGGGTTTAGGGTTTAGGGTTGAGGGTTTAGGGTTTAGGGGGTGGAGTGAGTGGTGGTTTACCTTGCAAGCGCCCCGTGCCCAGGGCTGCGGAGTGCGTGATGGCTACTGCTTGGGAAAAGGGCCCCTTAACGGGAACCCCAAACAGGCAACCCTAAACCCTAAACCCTAAACCCTTAGTGAGAAAACACCCTGACTTGGTAGCATCTTCCGATTATACTCCTACTATATACTTGGGGTTCCCTGTGTGGGGGGTTCCCATTACAGTCCCTTCATGTGGGCTGCATACTGCATGCCCCCTCAGAGTTCAACGTACCCCTCGGGCATACTCTTAAAACATTCAGGGGTATGATAAAAAAAACTTCCCTTAGACTCCGTTAGAATCCCCCTTAAAAAGGCTAAGGGGTATGGGTTTGGGGTATGGTGAGACATATCCTTGGATCAAAACTACCTACCTCACCCAAAAAAGCTTCTCCGCGACATCCGAACCCTAAACCCTGCATCCTAAGCCCTACACCGTACACGCTAGACCCTAAACCCTAAACCCTAACCCTAAACCCAAAACCCTACATACACAGACCCTGGTTTTTCCGGACCCGTGCCATAAGAATCTCCAACCGACTTTTTTTTGACCGGCTACTTAAAGAGTCATAGAAGAGGGGCGCTGCAGTAAGGTTTAGGGATGAGGACAAGCTACAAAGAAAGTGGGTTATGGAGTTCTTCGGGTATCTAAGGGTAGTTTCATGGGCAATTTGTATAGGGTATACAGGGGGTATGCAAGGGTACCCTTTTTGAGGGCCCACACTATACCATGTAACCACCCTAAGAGAGTACGAGGAGGTTCATGATACTTATTAGCCAATCAAAACTGTACTTCTAACCTGAATAGGGCACTCAAGAGGCTTATAAGTGGGCTATAAGTACAGTTATACTTGGTTAAGAAGTAGCCCTAAACCCTAAACCCTAAACCCTAAACCCTAAACCCTAAACCCTAAACCCCAAACCCTAAACCATCACCCTCGAAGTGCCCCAAGAGGGTAAGCTCGAAAACCCGAACGCCTCAAATGCAGCCAGCAGAGCCAAGGTTCGTTGCGGCTGCGGGTCGAGCCATGTAGGTGCGAGACGTCGTTAGGGTTCAGGGTTTAGGGTTTAGGGTTTGGGTTTAGGGTTTAGGGTTTAGGGTTTAGGGTTTAGGGTTTAGGGTTTAGGGTTTAGGGTTTAGGGTTTAGGGTTTAGGGTTTAGGGTTTAGGGTTTATGGGCTAGGGTTTAGGATTTTTCGGGGTTACACTTCAGGGCTCGGGGGGGTTGGCCGCTTGTTTATGTATGTAGTTTTCTTATTGTAATCCAAACCCTACTAAGAAGCATATGGATCCAGGCACCTCTAAAATTATAGATGTCATAATTACCAAATTCTGAGCCCGAACTAAGATAAGTAGCCAATTCAAGACGTCCGTGTAATGCGGTCTAGCAGCAAGTCACCCGGTCTACCCCCTCTTCACACACCTCCCACACTTGTGAAGCTTCCAGCAACTTGGTCAAAGAAAGCCGGCAAACGAAGTGCACTTCGCATGCTATAGGGACCTTTTTGCTTAGAACAGGGTTTTTGGGGTTATTATAGTACATTTTATATAGGGACCATAAGGGAATACTATTCTTCATTATTCCGACCCCTATTATGCATTGATAATGAGGCGCATAAACCTCTGAGCCTCAAACTTTGTTTTGGCGAAGTAAGATTCGCCCGAAACAAGCCCACACCCGAAACCCTGTAGACCCAATCTCCCGCTCCTCGCCGGAGGCTGTCTCCATCTGCCACACAATTCGGACAATTTTGCAACTGGCACCCAAGCGGAGGAGGAGGCCCAGATGGTGTTTTCTAGGGGATGCATTTGGACGTTTTGTATTTACCCTCACTGGGTTTAACCCTGGACCCTATAAACCCTAAACCCTAAGCCCATGAAGGGTACCTTGTCTGGGACTCGTCGGAAGAAGCCGTTTCAGGGCCAATTTTGTGCGTGCTTGTCTGCACAGTCTTTTTGACGCCTTGGACATGGAGACGCAGTGGTCCTTGCACTAATACTGCAAGGCCTTGTCGGATGCAACGTACTCCGACGATCACTCGCCCACACCGGGCGTGCCGCCCGAACACAAGCACTTCCACGTGTTCAAGATTGCCCGTGAACTGGTGCCTACCTCTCTGGACCATCGCCGCCTGCGAAGACGCCGCCACCCAGCCCGAAGGCTAGGACCCGGAGTAGGCCTTGATTCACTGTTTTTAGATAAGCCCCTTTAAACCAAAAAGGGTAGCGTTTTTTTCCTTTTTTCGTAGGTTAGTCTTGGGTCTAGGTTGGGATCTGAGGGGTTCCCTAGTCCCGAAAACCTACTGCAGATATCACGCGAGAAAAAGCAAAGGCACTAGCGCCAACCCTGAGGGCGTCGTGCTTGTGAAGACCAGGAGGCTGAAGAGTTGTTGGGTTTAGGGTTTAGGGTTTAGGGTTTAGGGTTTGGGGGTTAGGGGTTTAGGGTTCTGGGGTCTTAGTTTGTTGAGTCCGTAAACCCCAAAGCCCACAAAGCCCCGAAGCCCCAAAGCCGTAGACCTCCAGACCCCCCTGACCCCCACACTTCCCAACCACCAAACCCTAAACCCTAAACCCTAAACCCTAAACCCGAAACCCGAAACCCTATACCTTAACCAAACCCCAAGACCTGCAACTTAAGACTGCATGGGGGGGTTGAGGGTTTTGGGGCTGTAGGCTGCTGTTTAGGGCATCCCAGGGTCTCCCTGACCTTATTTGGTTTTCGGGCTTAGGGTTTAGGGTTTAGGGTTTAGGGTTTAGGGTTTAGGGTTTAGGGTCGAGGGTTTCATTAAAGTTTGCGAGCTCTGAGTACGCGAAGTATTCGACTAAACCCTAAACTTCGGCCCTAAACCCCAGGCCCTAATGCAAGGGCCTTGGGGGGTATGTCGGGGCCATCGACCTGATTGTTGGTAGCGTTAAGTCTTGGTAAGCTAGGGTTTAGGGTTTAGGGTATTTAGGGTATAGGGTTTAGGGTTTAGGGTTTAGGGTTTAGGGTTTAGGGTAGGCTGTCAGGCCCGGCAGGTTTAGAGCGGCTTGGCGATTAGTTTGGGGCTTAGGGTTTATCCTGGCTCGCCCTTCCAAGGTTTCAGGGTTTAAAGTTTAAGGCTTAGGGTTTGGGTTAGCTTCGGTCCCTACAATGTGATGCCCTTCAGTTATAACTTAGTAAGCCCAGATACAAGTAAGTTGTATCTTAGTTAGGGAAGTTAGCCTCAAAAGTATACTAAAACAAACCTGGCCTTGTTAGGCGACATAAGTACAAAAACCGCGGCATCAATGAGAGAGATATGTTTATCTATATGTTTTGGATGTTTTTACATAGATGTAAAATTGACACATAGTGTTTCGTATATATATATATATATATATACTTATCTTCTTCGGTATGTATCTTCTGGTGGATTGGGCTTCCCTGCCTGAAAAAAAGTATCGACACGTTCTTTTTGTCTTTTTTCTGGGTATTCTCTTGTGGTCCCTTTGTGGTCCCCTTGTGGTCCGGGTAGGCCGTTTTTGCTTGTGGCACGGGTCGGTTTCGTGGGATGTCTCGAGGATTTGCTTGTGGTACGCTTGTGGTCCCCTTGTGGTCCGCGTGTGGTCCGGTCGACCTACCCTTGCAGCTGGCCCAAAAGGAAGTGTCGACCTTCGCTTTGCGCTGCTCCACGCCATGGGCACACATAGTCTGTATAACTTGCTCATACCTGCTCGGTATTCAGCTCCAAACATACCAAAAGACCTGTATCATATTTCTTTACGTGACACGTTTCTAACAAAGACATGTGAAATCCTGTAGTTTCCACGCTACTCCAGCCCTTTCTTAAAAAGTATATGAAACATAGCCCTCGACCTCCATGTGACTGAAACCTTACAAAATGCAGCAGTTTTTAGTTATCCAAGTTAGCTAACTGGCATGACTTAGTTATAACTGATACCGTCCAGTTATCGAAGTTGCTCGATTTATAACTCTGACAACATAGCTTATAAATGATGTGATAAGTTATGTTGCACAAGATATAACATGAGCTGTAACTAGAGGGCATCACATTGTACCGATCCTCAAAAGGGAATCCGGGAAATGACCCTTACTTTGCCAAAACGGGAGAATATTTTGAGGTACCTGTAGCTCTCTAATTCCCGACTGGTACAACGGCCACCCCCCCCAGTTGCAGGTTCCCAGGGTTCTGGCGCAACCCTAAACCCTAAACCCTAAACCCTAAACCCTAAACCCTAAACCCTAAACCCTAAACCCTAAACCCTAAACCCTAAACCCTAAACCCTAAACCCTAAAGGCAGCCCGAAGTCCCTCTGACTCGGATCAGGCTGGCGCTTTTATCCTCCATTGTGCTCCCCTTGAGAAGGCTCCTGAAGAGCACATTTCCGCATAGGGTTTAGGGTTTAGGGTTGAGGGATTAGGGTTCAGAGTTTATGGTTTAGGGTTTAGAGTTTAGGGTTCAGGGAAACTAGGTCCCAGAGTAGGCCCCTTATTCCCCATTGTTAGGGTTTAGGTTCCTTGAAGCCTCTTTTAAACCAAACGGGGTGGGTTACTCTGGGGTCTAGTTCGACTACACCGATAGAATGGTAATAGAGGAGCGTGAATAGACTGAGTAGCCTATTCAGGGTGGATCTCAACTACGAAGACTCAGGGCGTTGGTAAGAGACCTTTCCGATCCAGCTGGTTCTTCTCTCGACCACTGAATCCGACTGTTCGGTATAAACCCTAAACTCTAAACGCTGAACCCTAAACCCTAAACCCTAAACCTAGGTATCCCAATCGTACCAGTGTTTGCAGTTTAGGACAGTTTAGGGTCTACCGGAAGGCTCCAATGTAGTTCCTTTTTTTGGGTTGTGATAGGGGATCTGGTCTACTACACCCCAAAAATTGCAACATGAGAAGCCTGGTAGGGTTTAAGGTTCAAGGTTTAAGGTGTTAGGGTCTAGGTTTACAGCCCTAAACCCTAAAAGCTAAACCCTAAACCCTGCAGGGATGTTTGGGGTCTATGTTCTGTGGCTTAGTGATCTTCGGCTATAAACCCTATAAACCCTATAAACCCTATAAACCCTCTAAACCCTATAAACCCTATAAACCCTATAAACCCTATAAAACCCTATAAAACCCTATAAACCCTATAAACCCTATACACCCTATAAACCCTATACACCCTATAAACCCTATAAATCCTAAACCCCTAAAACCCTAAACCCTATAAAGATCTTCGGGACCTTCGGGAAAAAAGGTCTCTCACCAATCGAGAAGTTCCGGTCCACCGCAGCCTTTTCAGTGCAGCTCGGCTGCTCTCTGAAGTTCAAAGCTACTTGGAGGTTCATGGTACTTATTTAGGGTTTAGGGTTTAGGGTTTAGGGTTTAGGGCTACTTATTAACCAAGTATCTCTGTACTTATAGCGCACTTATAGGCCCCTTAAGTGTTAGAAGTACAGCTATAATTGGCGAATAAGTACCCTGAACCTCCAAGTGCAGCGACGGCCAACCACATCGAACGTTGCGTTGCCGAGAAAATCTAAATGACGACCAACACTGCATCATCCCCTGACAATCCCTAACCCTAAGCCCTAAACCCCAAACCCCAAACCCTAAACCCTATACTAGAGTGTAAACTACCCACAATACACATTCCAGCTCAAACCCTCATTGTATTTCGAGCAACTCCAAACCCTAAACCCTATACTAGAGTTGTAAACTACCCACAGTACACATTCAAGCTCAAACCCTCATTGTATTTCGAGCGACTTAGTATGCTGCCTGTCCTGACACATGCCGCCGCGCTTCTCACGTCTAGCGGACCAGAATTTATTCAAGCATGGGGTCCCTGGTATGTTTGCAACAATCCCAGAATTCAGGGCTTAGGGTTTAGGGCTTAGGGTTTAGGGTATAGGGTTTAGGTTTTTTTTTTACGATCTTGGCCCTGTGAAACCGGTGGTCTGCTAGAGTAGCAGGAGGTCTGTACGCAGCTCTAGGTGAATCTCCCCGTGCAGGGATGATGTCTACATCTGCGACAGACAGAGATCATGCGCTAGCTTCTCTGAC